GCGCTTCTGGGCGGGTGGACAATGGCGAACTCGGTAGGATGGCGGTTGCGAGAGGCGTCGGGGTGCCGAGGGCATGGCTAAGGGGATCGTGTTGATCGTCGTTGAGATCCTCGGCAGAAACCGCCTGGAGGGTAACGGTGGGTGCCGCGCCGAATTTTGGCGGTAGTGGCTGATGCGGGTGATGCGACTGCGACAGATGAGGTATCTGTTTTGGGTCGTCAAATCCGGGTGGTGTTTGGTCCTCGTGGATGCTCGGGAGGTTGTTGAGGGCAGTGGGAGCTGCAACAGAAGAAGTGGTTGTGGTTGTGGTTGTTGCGGCTGGACGTAGATCGTTGCTGGCAGTCAGTTCGCTAGCCAAGCGTCCTTGAGACGCGGCGGGCGGCATTGGGGCCAGCGAGTCACGGTCGAGGTCGAGGTCGGGGTGTGGCTTGTGAGCGTCCTGATCGTCCCCAGTCCCAGTCGAGTTGTCTCTGACCTTGTTGCTGGCGCTGGCGCTGGCGCTGCTTGCGGGTCTTTGATCGTTGTCGGTATCCGCAGTAGCTGTGGCGATGGGATTCTCTTCCTTTACCAAAACCTCGTCGCTGCTGAGAGGTGCATCATGAAAGTTATGTTCATCATCACCATGACTGTCGTGATTGATTTGGTGTCCGTGGCGTTGCTTTTGTTGGTGGTCCAATAGATGGGACTTGCTTGAGGACGACGACTGTGGCGGGAGCTGCTCTTCCTCACTGTCAGCTTCGCCCTCTGCAGCCCCAGCAGCGGCACCCTCAGCCGTAATTGCCTTCAATTTCGGCTGCAGCAAGTGGTCGCCATGGCTGCTGCCGGGGGGTTGTAGTGTGGTGGACTGTGGCTGTGCCTGCAGGTGATGGTGTGGCTGGTGTGGAGTCGGCGAGCGCGAGGGCAAGGGCGAGATTGGCGTGCGAGGCGGGTGCTGAGAGCTTGCTCTGGACCTGGGAGCCGAAGCGGATGCAGCGGCCGAGGATTGCCGCGTGAGACTCGTCCCATCAGTTGTCTGGGAGTTGTGAGCATCGCCGGTGCTTTTGTTGGAGGCTAGAGATGGGGCAGCCGAGTTCCTCCGTGAGAACTTTGCCCGGAGACGGGCTCTGATATCCCCAGCAGTACCCATGGGGATGGGGTCACATTCAGCGTGTGAATGGGGGCGAGCTTTTTTGGACGGTATGGTACGGTGTACGACGACGGTACGTTGCTGAAGTTCGGTGTGGAATCGTGTCTTGCGCGTCTTGTCGCGTGGTCGCCGCCGTTGCCGTGAGCGTGATAGCGGCCGTGTGCTGATGGACTCTTGTTCTGGCGGGTCGTCTCCTTGGATGATGGATCAAGTGGACTGAGGTTGAGACACGCCGAGAGGAGGAGGAACGGATGGGACGGGTGGCATGAGAGGTGGGTGAATAAGTGGTATCAGCTGCCTCCTACTGTAGCGTAGCCTCTCTGACTGCGGCGAGGGAGAGGAAAAGGATGAGGGGGGGAAGGACGATTCCTCCAACGTAGATGAACACGGTGAAATACAATATAATACGGTGAGGCGAGTTGACAAAAGTGGAATGTAAGTGTGTTGAGTACAGAGTATGAAAGGGGGGTGACGGCACCTGGGGAATTGAGATCAAAGACAAGACAAGAAAAAAGATGTGATAAATGAGTGAGTGAGATGGGCCTTGGGAATCCCAAAGAGGACGACCGGGCAAGATCCCAGAAAGAAAGACAGAGAGGAATGAGAGGGCACCAGAGTTGGAAACTTGAGATACCCTACTCAGAGACAAGAGGCAGAGACTAAACGGGAAAAAGAAAGACGATGCAACAGAAAACAAGTAGAAAATGGTGCAAGATGCCTAGGTTTGCCGTCCACTAAGTCAATGCGAATGGATGTGAACCACCAGATCAAGTCCAGTCAAGCGCCAGTGGGCTGGCTGGCAGTCATATCCCGGGGTTGCGCTGGGTTGTAACTTGTGGAGGGAGACTCGAGAGACAGTGACACAGAATCGCAGACAACACAGAACATCCAGAGATGCCTTGACACCCAATACCATTCATTCGTAGAGAGAAAGAGAGCAAACGACGCGTGGGATGGGATACCCATGCGGCTGCCATGCCTTGCAAAGTGCAAGCCCACATGAATGGTTCATGGATCCGTAGACCATCCGTAAAAAGGTACCTAACCGGCTCCAATGTCCGGTTCAAATCCTGCTTTTTCCCCATCCTCTGTATCTCATTTCCCGTTGACATCCAACGTTTTTCTCGCCTTCCCCCCTATTAATTGGCCGTATTGCCCTCCACGCCTGGCCACGTCGATGTGCCTCTGCCCCACCTCCCTAATAACCAGCCAATTGGTCTGTTTTGAGCAGCCCGACTCTCCCGTCTCAGGTACCTCACTCAAGTACTCCATACCTTACCTTAGTATCGACACTTGAGGATTGGATATCGGCATCTAAAAGAGCGGACATTTCCATAAAACGCCCTATTAATTATTTGTGCAAGGACTAGAGCCCGAGGATACCCTCGTTCATCAGCCACACACTGGGCCCCTTCGTAGCACATGTACGGAGTACCGTGCCCTTCCATCGAGATCTAGCACCCGCCTGGCCCGAAACCAAGGATAAATCGGCCGGTAGGCAAAACGTCCATCTTCGGCAAGGTAGGTGTTCTGCAAGTCGTGGATGCAATAGTTTTGTGGGGTTCTGCAAGTTATCAAATCGTACGAGTGCATGTTGTTCTGCAGTCATATAAGCCGAAAGATACACATCTAGATTTGCGTCCGCACCCAGGAGGGACTTCCTTTCCTTAGGTGCTCAGGTACCTATACCTTTCTTGCGACCCACATTTTAAACAGTGACATCTTCCATTGCTGAAGGTATCCGTAATTAGACACAAACATCTACAATTTCATCTTGTCCATTTTCATTCCTTCATCGACGGAACTCAACTAACACCTGGTTTTCTCACATCGCATCTGTGATATTATAAGCCTACCACTTGTACTTCCTTCCGGAAACACTTGGCCAGAGTTGAAGATGCCCTCCTTCACAGAACCCGAGCATCAGTCGCAAAGTCTGCCCTTTGAGAAACCGACGCCACGTCCACCCAGGTCACCAACAGTAGCCAACAATATTCGGTCTCGAAACCGTCGTCGAGAGTATCTGGAAAGAAATCCAAAGTACTTTTCCGACGCTGAACATGAGCTGGCCGGTCTGTCTATTCGCATACCCCTTCTCCCTTTCTCTCTTGGACGGCCTTATTGATCGTACATTACGAGATTCGGACTTGCTTCGCTATCAACTCTCAAGCTAATATTCTTTTCAGACCCCCTGTTATACGACAGCTTGGTTCGCAAATTCCAGACACCAGCCGAGCGTGAGGTCGAAGGCAAGGCTAAGGGTTACTCGGGGGTTCTAGAAAGCTCCCTGCTTAGGGGCGAGGCTCGTCTTACTGACTTGAAGTCATCAACTGATGACACTTCAACACCGGAACCCGCGAGAGACTTCACAACCGAGGCCGATCTTTCCAAGACAGAGACAAAGGAAGAAGGCCTTCAGAGATGGCATGAGTTTCTCACGGAACGTTTTGTCCGTGGTCATGACGAGGATTTTGATTACAGCCTGATCGACGACAACGAAGACTATGACGTGATGGAGAGGCGAGATGCCGAGGAAGCCTGGTTCGACGAAGAAGACCCCGAGTGGGCTAGTGATACAGACGAGGGTGTCGAAACCACACGGGGCCAGACCGGCATTCAGGACTTTTGAACGGCTGCAGCGAGGCCGGTTATCCAGACCAGCACTGCCAACTGTCTGCACATCAGAGAAGGGACCATGAGAAGACTGGCACACGTGATGGCGAGCCAAAGCACAGTCATCATTGGCGGTTCTGCATTCGTTCTTCCTTACGAACCGCACCACTGCCACTGCGCTTCTGAGACTTAGGCTATATCGCCGCGCCTTGACATAAATGCGGCTGAGGCCTATCTCAAGGCTTGGGCGGGAGAGGACGCACCTTCATGTCCTCACTTTGGGCTTCGATACCTTTCCATCCCACGATGCTAAGCAACCCGGTCGGCCTCCACGAACCTTGCGGACGCCATGGTGGAAGGTCTATAGGCGAGCGGACCGCAACACTTCCCAATCACAAGTTCATTGAGCCACCTTTGGCTCAGTGGTAACAGCGACGGCGCATCGTAGTCATAGGGTCACAAATACTACCAATAACCCACCGACGGGGTTCGAGTCCTATGCTGCCTTGTGATTTCGGCGGTAAAGCTCGGGTAGCGCGGGGCCTCGTCCTGAAAGGGGCGAGATTGAGCGTCGAACATTCTTTTTTCGCATTTTTTGGTATCTGTCTTCCAACCGAAACATATCTCAATCAATATTGGAATATGCCAGAAATCATGGTTGACGCCCAAGAGTAGTGCCTTGCGCCGTCAATATGACTTCGCCCAAGACTGGTATGGCACAAGCGACTCTTGTATTTCCCAAGAAGTCTACCTTACGGTTGGCCCACCACAGCACCATGCACCTGTGTTGAATTACAAGTGTCAACAGCGTCCAGGTTCAGTCCTCCAACTCGTGGTGCGGGTGGGGGTGTGCCCAGAATGGGGTAAACCGGGAAAATGCGCTGGGTAAATTCAAAGGCCGCTGGCTAGTCGTCCCGTGTTCCACTCTACCGGGCCAACATCACCACTTTCACATTCATCCAGACGCCTGAACCCTTTGATGGTGGAGAATACTCGAGGACGGCTATTTGGCATATAAATGATTGCTCCCCAAGGTTTTCTTCGCGTCTGCCAGCCTCTGCAGAATATCCTTACCTAGTTGTCTGTTTCTTGTTGCAAGTAGGCAATCTGGGAGAGCGTCCTATCCTATTCCCCAAGACACTCAAAGTGGCATGCTCGGTTACCCCATCTGAACCCCAATTTCACTACCAACAACCACCTTTAACCCCCGCATTCCCTCCCCCGCACTCCCACTTTCTTCCCCATCCCACATACATTCACGATGGCGCCCCTCATCAACCACCTTTACACGGCCGACCCTTCAGCCCACGTCTTCAATGGCAAAGTCTACATCTACCCGTCCCACGACCGCGAGACCGACATCAAGTTCAACGACAATGGAGACCAATATGACATGGCCGACTACCACGTCTTCAGCACATCATCGCTGGACCCCCTCGAGCCCGTCGTCGACCACGGCGTCGTCCTGAAGACCGAGGACGTACCATGGGTCTCGAAGCAGCTCTGGGCTCCCGACGCCGCCTACAAGGATGGCAAATACTACCTCTACTTCCCCGCCCGCGATAAGCAGGACGTCTTCCGCATCGGCGTCGCCGTCTCGGACAAGCCCGAGGGGCCCTTCACCCCGGACCCGGAACCCATCAAGGGCAGCTACAGCATCGACCCTGCCAGCTTCGTCGACGACGACGGCCAAGGCTACCTCTACTTTGGCGGCCTCTGGGGCGGCCAGCTGCAGTGCTACCAGAAGGGCAACGAGGTGTTCGAGAAGCAGTGGCTCGGCGCCCAGGAGCCCAGCGGCGAGGGCGCCTACGCGCTCGGCCCGCGCGTGGCCAAGCTGACGGGCGACATGCACCAGTTCGACGGCGAGGTCCAAGAGATACAGATCCTCGCGCCCGAGACGGGGAAGCCCATCCTCGCCGACGACCACGACCGCCGCTTCTTCGAGGCCGCGTGGCTGCACAAGAGGGACGGGCTGTACTACTTTTCCTACTCGACCGGCGACACACACTACCTCTGCTACGCCACGAGCGAGAGCCCGCTGGGGCCGTTTACGTACGGGGGACGGATCCTCGAGCCGGTGCTGGGGTGGACGACGCACCACTCCATTGTCGAGTTCAAGGGTCAGTGGTGGCTCTTCCACCACGACTGCGAGCTGAGCAAGGGGGTGGATCACTTGCGGTCTGTCAAGGTCAAGGAGATTTTCTATGACAAGGACGGCAAGATTGTGACGGAAAAGCCATAGGAAGAAGGGCGATAACCAAGTTGGAGAACATTCAGGAGAAGAAGAAGAAGAAGAAGAAGAATAAGTAAATGAATCTTGCGTCACTTTGTATCAATAACAATTTATGAGAATCACCTCTGCGTCAATGGATATTTTGAGCTGATTTCATCTACATCCTAATCATCTCCTCACAACCTAGACTCTTTTCCTCGATTTCCTTTCCCAGAACTTTCATCCCAAACTTTGTAGATCTTCTTTACATGAATGACCAGGCTACAACAGCGACTCAACATTTGAATAGAGCATATAGTTATCTCACACTTGGGGGTACGGGGGGGTATATTGCGATAGATCGGATCGTTTTGTCCGTGACAAAGGAAAATAAAAAGGGTGTGTTGTGATTTGTGTTTATGTGGCTTTCCTCTTACCCAGAGAAAATACAGTATCCTCATGCTGCTTCTCAACTTTCAACAACGCCGAACCGCAGCTTATTCAACGCCTCTTCGTACTTGGCCGGGCTGTGGTCGATCAACATGCTCGTGCCGAACCGCACCTCTCTAAAGCGCGACTCGACGTCCCTAACGTACTTTAGCACGATCCGCTGCGCAGGCCGGCCGATGGATTCCTCGTCGGAAACAAGAAAAGCGTCACGCCTCAGCACCCGCTGGCTCTCGACGATGAACACCTCGCCCGGCGGCAGCAGCTTCAGGCTCATCATGCTAGAGCGCAGCGTCGTCAGCGCCGAGATGCTCCATTTGTCCTCGTCGGCGCCGGCGGCCAAGGAGGAGGAGGAGCGGGAGCCGCTATTGGTGTACCACTTCTCCGCCAGCCCGGACTGGAAGGCCTGCCATATCCGCTGCTTGACCTCGACTTTTGCCTCGTGGTTGTCGCTCTTGAACGCGAGGGCGACGGCCTGGAAGTCATGCAGGACGCCGAGGGAGAGGAAGGGGACGAGATCGCAACCGTGGACGACACTGGTGACGAGGCCGCGGGTGGCTTTGCGGAGGGCGGGGGACATTGTCCCGGGAGGCCCGTAGGCGTAGACGTGGATGGGGCGGCCCGAGGGGAGGCAGACATGCGTGGTGTCTGTGTCGAGGAGGCGTCCGTCGCCGAGGAGCCGGCGGTGCGGGTCCGAGGTCGTGACGAAGCCCGTGCCCGAGGACGAGGGCTCGGCGAGCATAGTGCCGAGCAGCGCCGTGACGCCGCCACCGAGCGAGTGGCCGCACAGGACGAGGCCGTAGTCGCTAAACTCATCGAGGGCCTCCTTGAGAGTGTAGAGGACGCGCCCATCGCCGCCGTAGAGGAGGCGGCGGGCCGAGGCGTGGATGCCCTTGTGGACCTTGTAGGACTTGCCGCGCCAGTAGAGATTGTCGTAGTCGCAGGCCATGTCGGCCAGGACGTCCTCGAAGCCGAGAGTGCCGCGGCAGGCGAGGACGACGGCTTTGGACTCGTGGTCGAGGGAGATATAGTGGACCAAGGGTACGCCGGTGCCGGTCGAGCCGGTGGTGTCGGATCCGCCTTGAGCGTCAACGAAGGAGGCGAGGAGGATACTGGTGGATTCGGATTCCGTGTGGTGCGCAAAGGAGCGGATCTCGTGGTGTGTGTCGTCCAACGCTTTGATCAGGGGCATGTCCTTTGAGATGCCCATGAACTTGAGAAAGTTGGACCCGTATGACGCGGACGAGAATCGCATGTATCGCGTGATGTTTCGGAGCAGGTGGAATGCTGGGAAAACGCCATCTACTGTGCCTGCCCGCCTCAAGGTATCGATGGCTTCCGAGTCGGTATACGCGCTCTTCTGATAGTACGATGACAGAACCAGAGATGTTTGAGAGCCGGTGTTGGCGATGCTGTAGAGGCTCGGCGTGTTGACGTGGGAACGCGCCCTCCTGGACTTCATTGGCGATGGTGGCTTCTGATCGTTCATGTCCTTCTCTGACCGCGACTTGGGGATGCTGGGCTGGCCCATGCCGTCACGGCGAGTGTATCCCGGAGACTGGGGCCGATATCCGTCGACGGCGTGGAAGGAGTAGGTATCCGTCTGGGACACAATGGAGTCTCGACGTCGCTCGTGTACAGAAATGTAACTGGCTCGCGAAGAGCTGCGAGGTACGGGTGAGGGGTTCTCATAGGCCCGGCCTCTCGAGCTGGAGGCAGCAGTCGGGCCCATGGCTCGGGTCTGGGATGGACGGCTGGGCAGAGTAGAGGTACGTGTTGTCCCATCTCTTGCAGAAGTCTTTGCTGGCTGCTTGGGTTTCGCCGTGGGCTGTGAACTGCCGGTACCGGTGCCGGTTCCCTCTCGATGGAAGAGGTTGGAAATGTTTGAGCTGGTACCCCTTTTCAAGGCTTGCCTGATGCCTCCCTTTTTCTCGGTCGTGGGCTTCTCCGATGGTTTGCTACTTGACAAGGGCTCGCCTTTGGTTCTCTTGGGCTTCGTGACTTCGGCGTGCGAGGAGACGGCACTCTCCTGACGCGCCCGCACTGGTAAGGGGCCTAGAGGCGCACGCTGTCGCTTTTGATTTGGCGCGTTTTCAGGACTCTGCTTGGGCGTTGGGATCTGAGAGACTCGACTGCCGGGTGAAGTTGATGGGAAACTAGGACCAACCTTTGCTCGACGAGGAGTCGGGTTAGACGTCACGTCTGACCTCGGAATACTGGCTGGAGCCGGTGTCAGCGCCTTACTGGGTGGTACGGGTGGCGGTTCGTCCTTTTCGTCGTTTCGGCCGTATCCATCCGACTCCTCGGTGTCGTCTAGTGATTCCACTTTTCGAGAGTTGTCTTCTGCCTCTTCGAAGCCTTGGATTGTTGTGTTTCGATGTTTGCTCTTGTCGACTCTGTAGACTACCCGGTAGGTCGGGACGTCAGCGGCGGCTTGATGCCTCACCAACTGTTCCTTTGGGCCTTCTGAAGATGACAGAACTTCTCGCTCGACGACCTCGACACCCGGAGGCGGTGTCAAAGTTGGGGGCTCAGGTCCCGTGAAGTCCACCGTAATCATCTTCCTCGTCAGGGTCGTTGTTGAGATGGAGACGCTCGTATCTGCAGGCATAGACCGCATGATCTGATTCTTGAGGCGAATTTCTGGCAGGTCGTAGTCATCTTCGTCTTCACTGGTTTCTCGTTCACCATGTCGTTCGATGGTCGCTAGTATACCGGGACTCGGTTGGTCGCCAGGGATAGAAACCAAAATATCAGGACCCTTGCTTTTGTAGCGGCCTTTGTGCACCCCATACAAGCTATTTTCGTGGATGTCAACCCGCTCTCCGTCGTTTAGCACAACGACATCCCAAACGATTTCATCGTGACCGAGTCGTCTTGTCTCTTCGTCGAGGAAACGTCGACATTTGCGCTGCAGGTAGGCCAGCGCGCATAAGCCCATGACCAGATCTACAACACCCACACGCTCACCCTCCACACCCGTCGCAGGATTCTGGAACTCGCGGCGAATCAAAGTGATGATGCTCGCAATGGCACGTGAAGAGTCGGTCGAGCCAAAGAACTGATCGAGAGACGAGAGAAGAAGCTGAGATATCTCTGAGGCGACGGAAATGGTGGTACTCGTCATCTGAAAGCCGGTCGTAGTCCAGAAAACGATTTGAGACATGGCACTATGCAGATGCTCCAAGCTTCTCTCCAGGACAGTCTCTGCATCTTCTCTGCCCAGGTCGCTGTTGGACCGTACAAGCATATCTCTCCCAGATCTGCTCAGGATTCCCTCGAGTATGCCCCTGCTGAGCTCGAGACTGGATAGGGTGGTGAACTTGGCAGCATCGAAGCCGTACGAGCTGATGAGGGTGCCAACACGGATTGCTAAACATGTTGAGCGAGTGGCAAGACTGACGGCCTTTGCTATAGGACTCGGTAGCACAGTTCGTCCTTGGTGAGAGTCGAGGGGTACATGGATGAGGTCGTGGGAGTGTTCATCCCCGTCCCCGTCCCAGTCGTCGTCCTGATCCATGGTCTCTGATGGGTGTGTCGCGGCAGATACCAGTGAGGGTCGGGAAGTGGGCGCTCGCATGCGCAGGAGGCACGGGTCATCAACTGACAAACCACGTGGAGTTGGGATAAGGTTCCGGACGTTAAACTTGAAGTGATGCGGGATGTGCAGAAACCATGCTATACTCGAGACCTTGACCGAGCTCGGTTCCAACAGGGGATGTCGAGCGTACAGTCAGGGGGATAGAGAAGGGAAACGAAAGCAGGGAATGGGGCGTTGAGAGACGCAGAGCAGGTACGAGCTTGTGGAAAGAACAGAAAGAGGGAAGAAGCACAACTCATAGGACTGAGAGTAAGGGAGCAGGACGAGACGAGGTGGTGAAGAAAGGGGGGAACATAGGCGTGCTACCAGGGGTGGCAACATTCAAGCACCTTCAGCCGAAGGAAGATCAGAGCAGCAGCCGTTCAGAAGTAAAGAGAGGCGTGTAGGTTGTGGAACGACCGGAATGCAGTAGACTTGACAGAAGACAAGCATCAATGTACTACCTCGGCCTGACCTGCCGACATCTATACCGAAGGTCCCGTCCCGAGTGTAACGGGCGTGGCGATGCCGTGTTTTCTTGTGTTGTGCTGATGACGAAAGCCTGGAACGAAGCCGTGAGAAGGGAACAGTACTGTGTATGTAGAGAGGGGAGAACCCGCGGTTCTGGGAGCACTTTTGTTTGGTACGGTAAGGTACGGAGTAGTGTAGTGTAGTGTAGTGTAGTGTACAGTAAGTGGGTGAGTGGCACCGCGTAAGGTGGTTTTTAGGGTGTCGTGGGTGCGCGGTGGAATGAAATCAGTTGGGGTGTTCTAGCCCAATGTGAGCTCAGGCAAAAGGTGACCGGGTTGACGTGTTGAGCCGCTGTGCCAGGGCTCCAATAGGAGTAAGTGGGACGTTGAGCATCTGCATGAGCACGCAGTACATAGTCACTCGGTAGGCTGCGGGTTGTATCCGTACGGATGGGTAAGTAGCAACTATCCGTAAGTGTGGCAGCCATGGGCAGCATGGGCAGCATGTGATTATGGTGTTAATTTGTGGGGGATGTTCATGCACACGACGGCGACGGCGACGGCGTGAGGTAGGATGGGACGGGATGGCATGGCGAGGCCCTGGTTTCTGTGGGAGGGTATGTTTCTCCAGCCCGGGGTACTGTAGTCTCTGTGTGTGCCTCTACGTGTCGGAGGAATAATACCTAGGTAGAGGAGGCAAAACTGCTTGTCTGTATGGAGGATGGAGGAGTAACATGCCATCTTGTCTGGCTGGCTGGTATGGCGCTACTTAATAGCGTCTGGGGTGGGATGGGATGAGATGAGACGGGATGAGATGAGATGATGGGGATGAAGATGGGGGATTTGCCCGAGCCGATGAGAAGTCGAGGCTAGTGTTGGGGGCTAGATACACATCGCATAGCTCAGATGGTAGCGTGGGTGGTGATTTGAATCGGTCATGCCTACCGGCTTAGCATGGTGATGGGTGCTTCAGACTGCTTGGATGTGTACATGAGGCTTGTGATGGCTGGGAATCAAAAGTCAGTTGTGTCTTTACATTTGGGAGAAATATAACGGCGAGAGTGAGTTGGTGTAAAAGTACGTATCAAATGGTTTCTCGGGCAGCATGGAAGGTCGGGTAAACCCAAAGATCGTAAAGTAAGGTATCTATTCTCCTCCACAACCAACTCTACGACATGCCCAGCAGGGATTATAATCCAAGGGAAAAGCAGTCAGCCTTGTACGTGTTTGGTGCTGTTCGTGTTGAATACTCATGACTTTTTTTTTTTTTTTTTTAACTTTTGTATCAGTCCAAGGTAAGGTAGCACAGGTATTGGTAGCTGATGGCTGCCACCACAATGAGAGGTTCGTTATCAGCAGGTGCACGTCTCATTTCTAGCGTCTCATTCTCGCTTGGCATCCAACCGATAAGCTTGTAGCGAAGCTGTAAGACAGAGTACAAGGCCCGTCATCCAAGTCTGACCTGACGTGAGTGGTCCAAAGTACTTGGAAGGACATTGCCATGTTTGCACATGCACTTGTCTTTGAGGATGCCAGCTGAGACCACGACATTCCAGACTGGAGGAATGCTGAGGTGACGGGGACATGTACTTTGCCTTTTGCTTGCCTCTTATGAGGTACCTACAGGTAGATATGTAAGAGGCACACAGGGTCAGTGTTGCCTCCATCCTAGTGGGAGGCGGTTCAGGCGGTTGAGGCGCATCCTTCCAATTATCATCAGTAGGAACGGTCTTCCCCCCCCCCCCCCTTTTCACCTTGGCCTACACTTCCAAACATAGCTACCTACCCTACCTTGTTGTTGATGTGCATCTCGGTGTGGCTTGACTCTTGAGAACTTTTTACATCTGTGCGGCGCGATTGAGTTTACGACTTCTCGGTGGCTTCTTGAACCGTTACTACAAGTGCCTACGCAGTACATTGCCTCGCTGCCTTATCTACATCATAGACGCTATCACGCTGTCCTTGGAATATGCAGTGCCACAGACTGCAACTTCCAGCCCGTACCTCGGCCGACGGCTGGCCCTGATGGTTGGGACGGACATGCGCCAAGTACCTTGCTGCCTCGGCGATCGACAGGCCCAAAGGCGGGAAGATGTGAGGTGATACAGGCATTCGGACGACTGGGGTTGTGATGGCCTCGAGTTTCCGAGGTTGTCGATAATTGAGTTGTCTTTCGAGGCCAAGTAAGCTTGCCGATAGGATATCTAAGGACAACAGCACTCTCAACATGGACATCTTTTCCTCTGCATAGTCTCGGGTTGGACCTGAGCTGTAGCCTCTCTCAAAGTGGCTTCCCGTATACTATGAATAGCTACACGCAGAAAAGCCTCTAGATCGTCCCGTGCAGGCGGATACGGGCCTGGGAACCGCACGTCAGCTTACCTTAATTAGGGGCACAGCTCCTTTCCCACGACCAATGAGGTGGCACATTTTGATGGAATGCAGAGGCGGAGCAACAGCTCAAGGTCCACGCCTCGACTGGTTCCTGGGACCTGGACTTGACACCCCAGGTATGGAGTGTTGAGTCGAACAATTCATAGATCTTTCCCCAAACTCCAGACCCTATATACGGTTCTTCAAGCCGTCTTGAAAAGGATGAATGGAAGGCTATATTGATGATGGGAAGGGGCTGAGAGTGAGCACCATGGCATATCTATACAGTAGTGAGGTACAGAACTGGGCATGTACGAGTATGACCGTATGAGGGACCCCCTGATGGGTACAATGTAAACGACGTGGATGCAGATCTGCGATGCCTTGCTTGCTGCTGCTACCTCGCTGCCCCTGGCACCCTGGGCCCTGGAACCCTGCCCTGCTTGACGCAGGTATTCGTACCTTACGGTGTTTACCTGCCGCAGGTTGCCCACTCCAACCGACGGATAAGGAAGGGCAACTCGGCTGCAAACATCGCGCCTACATCAATACCTGGGGCGACCTACATCGGCAGTGCTTCCTCAATTTCTCTCGCTCTCTGCCGCTGAAGCTGTCTCTCTTTTCTCCATCGCACCCTCCCTCCGCCATCTTCACCGCTTCGCTCTCCATCTTGACACCTCAACGAATCGCATCCTCTGCAGCTTTCCCCCCAACGAAAGCTTCGCCAGCCAATCGACCAAAGCACCTCTGTCTTTCGTTCCATCGTAGCGTACCTTAGCGACAGCTCAATCCAACCCTTCCCTGCCAGTCGATCCAATCTTTGCCAACCCTTAGTCGGCGAAGAAGCTCTGATAGATCTCATCCCGACCGAACAACTCCTACACCGTAGTCGCAGTCGTATTGTAGTTGTACAGTCGCAATGGCTGAAGCCGGACTCTTCACCGACGACCTCGTCTCCCCCACCGTCGCCGCTGCTCTTCCCGAGGGCTACATTGTGCGTGCCCTTCGTCAATCCGATTACAACACCGGTTTCCTCGACTGTCTGCGTGTCTTGACCACCGTTGGCGAGATTGGCGAAGCCCAATTCGCCGAACGCTACCAATGGCTGTCTAAGAGTGACGAATACTACATTCTCGTCATTGAGGACACAAATACCAAGACCGTTGTCGGAACTGGCGCCTTGATCGTCGAGCGCAAGTTGTCAGTTTAAGCCACTCGAAATCACCTATGTCCTAGAAGAGTCCTACTGACCTTTGCTCTCTTCCTCCCCTATAGCATCCATAACCTTGGTCTCGTCGGCCACATCGAAGACATTGCCGTTGCAAAGGATCAGCAGGGCAAGAAGCTCGGCTTGCGCATCATCCAGGCTCTGGATTTCATCGCAGCCAAGGTTGGTTGCTACAAGAGCATCCTTGACTGTAGCGAGGCCAACGAGGGCTTCTACGTCAAGTGCGGCTTCAGGAGAGCCGGCCTCGAGATGGCCCACTACTACGAGGGAGACAAGAGTAAGGCCCAGTAGCCTTTTGTTTTTTCCCGCCTCACGACTCTCCCATATCTGTCGTCCCGTCCCATATCAGACCGCCTCATCTGTCCGGGTCTGGGCTCGACTCCGTTATTTTTGTACTACGGGCTCGAATTGCATCAGTGAGCTGCTGATGTTGAGTACTAGGACTGAAGCTCTAGATGCTCGAAATACCAGGTGCTAGATCAGACGAGCGCCAAGCTCGCTTCCAAAGAGACAAGAAGAACGACATAATGAAGAATAGAAATCCGTCACCCACCTGCATCCTTATTCCTTAAGTCCTTGCGACCCATTTCAAATTCGTCTAGTATTGTTTGACCAACCTCGAAACTTGACATGTCCGGGCACATCAGCCAGTCCCGATACTTGTCTCGAAATTCGACGGCTCTTAGCTCACTGCTCGCACACGCTATAGTCGCTGCTGGTGGCTTGTGTCCATCTCTTTAACGTTCTGTCGCCAGGCCAACAATTTCTTGTCCGGCCGCAGCGAGGGTCGCACTGCACCACTGCGTCAACAATGACCATCTTCAGATCACTGCTGACCTGCGTGCGCATCCGAGTGGCTGGCACTCGTGACATACTTTGGCCGTTCTCAAAGTGCCACCAAGGGGGAGCCTGTCTGCGGCGCCAGAAGCTTACCGCATGGAACGGGTCTAGCTGTCTTGCCCGTGGCAGGCCGGTCGGATCGTCCGCCATTGAATCGCGGATCGTCGAGAAGCTGCCCCCCGCGTTTCACATGTTTTGACTGAAATCGGTTTGGTTTCTCTGACGTCTGGTCACTCGCATTCTTCATTTCAAGCAGTGTGTGACAGTTTAGGTATCCTGCTCTCGCTGATCCTGCGATGGATGCTTTGTTTAGTCTGCAGTGGCGCAGGACTTGACAAAGAATTCTAGCAATCGAATAATAGAGTGAGACCGGATCCAGGTTGTGGCCAAGCCGTACAAACCTCCGGCCATCTCCGTCATCGTTGCGGCGAGACCGCACACACGGAGGCCCGCCCTCGCTTCTTCCGCACTTCATCGGAGCTTCCCCCTCCAAACAACCAGGCGCACCGCAATGTGAGGCAGCTCGGGCAAAACGTCAGAGTCAGGGCTTTCACTTTGGGTGCTTCGTACGCCTCACAGATCCTTCACATGCGTGGCCAAAGCGCCTCCTTCATCGCAAATGGCTGACGGGAGCTGACCATGGCGCCGTCGTATAAGACGGCCGGCCACCATGTCCCCTTATTTTTCCCCCTCTGGCGTGCAGTCGCAAGCGTCTCACGATCGGACCACGGATATCCCCAACTACCAGCACCAGAGTCCGAAGAAAAAGCACCACGGAACTATATCATAAGTCTGCAAGTCCACCCCTTAGAACTCCGAGCGCGCGTCGTCATTGGATCCATTTGGCGTCTGCAGATCGACGGTACTTTCATATTATATATAAATTAGCTTCTGCACCGTTGCACTCTGTCTTCCACCATGATCGAGGACCTGCATTCTGCCATTGTTCGCGTGCGAATCGCCTCACTTCAGTCAGAGTAAGTCACCACTGCATTACTGCTCTCATTTTGATCACATTACGCTTCAACATTGAGTGAATGCACATCTTGTTTCTGTGGCAACGGATCAGCCTGCCAGATGATAAAATATACTGATCCTGCAAGCAGAGTCTTGAGCAAAACCTCCAGCCGAGAAGTTGTTCGCCGCCGAAGCAGCAGCAAAGTAAAGCCAGTACACGTTGCCAAGGGCCGACTGCCATTGTTCACGAAGCAGAGATCCGTTCGGGTCGTTTCTTAAACACCTTACATCATGTCGCCGCACAAGCTTCCGGAGCAGGAGGATGGCAAGCGGCAGTGGGTGATGGGCACTGAAGCCTTTGAGAGGACCATGCCTCATCACCAGGGGATCAAGGCCCTCTGGGAAACCAAATGGAAGTTTCCGGTACGCGAGAAAATGAAGGTCTTTGACGGCGTAGCATGCTGACTGGCCCAATACAGTGCACCAAGAGTGTGTATCCTTTCCACGATGGGCAGTATGAGGACTTTGAGCCCATCTTCGAACACCTAATCAAGGTTAGCTGCTCTTAAAGAGATGCAGTGTAGAGAAAAAACTACTAACAACACGCAAGAACAACATCAATGACGGAAACTCCACCGCGTACACGGAAGCCTTCTTCCCCATCGCTGAGTCCCTGACTTCCAAGGGCGACGAGGCGATCATGGCCGGCAACAAGAAGGAGGCAAGCGACCTATACCTCAGAGCCTGCACAGTCTACCGCATCGCCCGGTTCCCCTACATCACGGCCTACCCTGAGATTAGTTGCCAGGTTAAGTGGAAGGCGTGGGAAGCCCAAAAGCGCGCGTACATGAAGGCGGCGCAATCCTGGGATTGTCCCATTGACGAGATCGACATCCCTCACGCCCACGCCAAGGGCGCGGACTGGAAGTCCATCCCGGCGTACGTGAGAGTGCCCCCGGGCGCGTCGCAGAGCAAGCCCAGCCCCGTCGTGATTCTAATGACGGGTCTCGACGGGTACCGCCCCGACAACACCGTCCGCTCCGACGAGTTCCTCGCCCGCGGGTGGGGAAGCGTCATTGTCGAGATCCCCGGCACGGCCGACTGCCCCGCCGATTCGGCCGATCCCGAGAGCCCCGACCGGCTGTGGAGCAGCGTGCTCGACTGGATTGCCGCGGACGGCCGGTTCGACACCAGCCGGGTCATGGTTTGGGGTCTCAGCTCGGGAGGGTACTACGCTATTCGCATCGCTCATACCCACCGCGAGCGCTTGATCGGATCGATTGCGCAGGGTGCCGGGTGCCATTACTTCTTTGACCCCGAGTGGCTGGAGAAGGCTGACGGCCACGAGTATCCGTTCCTGTGAGCGAAGTCTGTCCAGGTTTACTTTGTGAGTGATTCGCTGACCGTTTTACAGTTTGACGCCTGCCATGGCCATGAAGCATGGTTACAAATCCGTGGAGGAATACAAGGCGGGCGTGCAGAAGAAGTTTTCGCTGCTGGAGACTGGTATCATTGAGAAGCCCTCGACGCGTCTGCTGTTGATCAACGTAAGTTCAACAACTCTAGATATCTAGCGTAGGAGAAGTGACTGACACACCGATACAGGGTACTCTGGACGGATTGATGCCTATAGAGGACTCCATGATGCTGTTCGAGTACGGCACGCCCAAGGAGGCCAGGTTCTTCTCGGGGGCATTGCATATGGGATACCCCATGGCCAACGGGTCGGTGTACCCCTGGATGGAGAGCGTCATGTCTAGCAAGATCTAGGTCTGGTTGTTGTAATGAAGTGTTCATATTAGCTGTAGTAACGCAGCATGGCTCATGAGATTCAGAGCACTTGTTTCGTGACGATGTTCCTGCAACATAAGTTTGAATAGTCGTTCTTTCTCATTATGTTCGTCTAGATTTCTGCCGGTGAAGCACTTCTCTCCCGGATCCTTTCGCTTCCCAGAACCTCTCTTTACCGACCCATCCAGCCACCATCAACAACCAGAACATGCCCACTCACATACCCACTCGCCCGACTCGCAAGGTACACCGACGTGCCCTTGAAGTCCTCGGGCGTACCCCACCTGCCCGCGGGGATTCTCGCGCTGATGCTCGCGAGGCGCTCTTTATCGTTCAATAGCGCCGTGTTCATCTCCGTCTCAATGTAGCCCGGCGCAATGGCGTTCACAGTAATACCCTTGGAGGTCCACTCGTTGGCGAAGGACTTTGTCAGCTGGCCGACGGCGCCCTTGGAGGCGGCGTAGGCGGGCACGGTGAAACCGCCTTGGAAGGTGAGGAGGGAGGCGTAGTTGATGACGGAGCCCTTGCGGCCGGTGGTCGGGTGCGGGGCGAGGTTGAGCATGTGGGCTCCTACGTCGCGGGTGATTGTGAAGACGGAGGTGAGGTTAACTTGCATGACCTGTTTTGGAGGTGTGTCAGCTCAATCTCTCCTCACCGTTCTCGGCACGAGACTGTATATAAGGAGCAGCAAAACTCACGGCATTAAAGTCCTCATCGGGGAACTTTTCACACGGATGCCTCTTTTGGATACCCGCGCAGTTGACGAGGATACGAATCTCGTGGCCGTCCTTGAGGACCTTGGGCACCAGCGCGGCGACGCTCTCCTGCGAGCTCAGGTCCGCCGTGTAGATCGTGGCCTTGCGGCCGAGCTTCTCGATGGCTTGCTTTGTGGACTGGGAGGACTCGTCGCGCTGGACAAGGAGGACGTCCGCGCCGGCCTCGGCGAGGCCCACGGCTACGGCGGCGCCGATGCCGCGGGTGCCGCCTGTTACGAGGGCTGTTTGGCCTTCGAGGGAGAAGAAGGAGGATGCCATTCTGAGGGCAGTTGTGTGTGTGTGTGTGCGTGTGTGTGTAACAAGAGGAGAGGATAGGAGACAGATGGACGGAGACTGTGAGAATTTGGAAGGTTATGTCCTGGGGGAAGGGTATCACGAGAGTAAGGAGAAGCTATAGGAAGTTGGGAAACTTGGAAAGATGCGTGTGGAGGGAGCTATATGAATGGGGAGCTGTTTGAAGTGAGTGGACTTTGATTGGGCGAGGTCGGAGCAAAACGTCAAGTCTCAATTCAGTGCTTTACGGATTGACAGATAAAAGATCATCAAGCTTGTAAAGGTACTCCTTGCTCCGGCGAAACGGACAAGCTTTGGGAAATGGGCAAGCTAAGCTAACCTTCAGTCACCGAATGATCCCCGGTACGAAGCCCGCATTCTTTCCTGAGGTACAGACCATTACTTCCGACGGCATGAAACTTCTCACACCTGGTGTAGAACACTTGCTCACGGGACACGCAAAAAAAAAATAGTGAAGACAAATAGAAGATGTACTCCTGACACTGTAGTAAGAGAAGCCATTGACGCGGGGCAACTCGTGGCGGGGAGTCTCACGATTCATGGAAGCTGGAGAGAGGTGCGGGGCATTTCCCGCCGTCTCTGTTATACCGTGGTACCTGATGTACTAGATACTTTTTCTTTTTCTTTTCTTTTACCCCTCCATTGCAAGGGTTCAGGGGCATCTCCAACCGCGACCCTCTGACGTCGTTTTTTTGCGACTGGGCCATTGAATCCCAATTTTGTGTTTTCTTCAACCAGGCATTTGCCCATTTCAATGCCATAGAAAAAATGGAAGATTCCAATTATAGAAAGGGAGCTCTACTGTGATATGAAATTGACTGGGAGTGGATAGCATTGAACCGCCGAAAATGACTTGGGGGCAAAAGCGAAGGTAATGAATACCTGACACCAGCAAACTCGGGCCGGTACCCCCACGTAAGAAACGCTAGGTGACGGTAAAGTGGGATTGGTCGCTGGCCTTCTCCCCGCACGTCGGAGAAGACACGAAAAAAAAGTCACAATGGGTGGGGAAGAGGAGAAAGAACACGAAAGAGAGACGAAGAGGAAAGGTCTCTGGCACAAGGTAAAGCATGAGAATAGGAGAACCCGAGTCTTCTGCGAATCACCGACACTGAATTGTTGATTTGGCTTGTTCTCGGGCTGTCTTGCCAACCTTCTTCGACGGGATTGCCTAGTCGTCTCTGTCTCTTTTCTTAGCTTTTTCTGGGGTAAAGATATTGTAGGTACTCTGTACTATGTCCAGTAAGAATAAGATACGTAGCGCTCGCCTTAGGACAGAATTGCCGTGTTTGGCCTCCGCGGCCGTTTTCTCCAACCCCGCGACGGGATCCCCTCTGACTTTTCGGCGTGTATTGCCCATATTGGATGGGGGTCACTTTCACTCCCTTACCACTTGTATGAGTTGAGTAAGGGTCCATAACCCGCGGGTATCATAGGAAGAAACTGAGAGGCTGACTTGGCAATTGGCAATTGGGATTGCCCCTCCCCCTCTTTCCACCCGCCCCCCTCCACTCGTTCCATGATCCATCAAGATTTCATCCCGCAACATCCACCATTGAACCAATCCACGATGCCGCCTCGTCTTTCGAGACCGGACGCGGCATTCTTTCCGGCAAAGGCTCAAACTTGACCATGTATTCCATACTTTCGTAAGTTGGTCATGTTGAATGGCCGCCTTTTCATTCTAAATCTCCACAAACTCCACACGAACCCGTGTCCAACAATGCTTTCTCAAAGCAAGAGTATCCATTCCGTCTTAGTCTTCCCCCCTCTTTTCAGCACTATCCAACTTGTCGCAAGTGTCATCATCTCGTACATGGTACTCGACACAATGGCCAGCACTTGCGAGCCTCGTTGAAGCTCGCGCACGAGTCCCCAACGTTCCCGTAGCTTTGGAGGCTGGCCAGGTAACTTGACACCTGAGTCTAGAGATGGACATTTCGGCGTACTTGTACTCGAGCCGAGTCGAGGATTCCTTACTCGGCTATACATAAATTTTGAACTAGCAGTTTCCCAGGTCGTCGGTTTGCTTGTTAGGTAACTTGGTGCTTCCCCCCACCGACCAAGTCTCTCTCGTAACCCGCATTTCCGTTTTGCATCACACGCCTCCGCCGATTCGCGTCCACCCCTAGTAGCTTGACTTAAGTCGCGTTTTCCGATCCGTCGATATCGGACTTGTGTTTAACCATACGTACCTTGCCTTGACCTGCTCTGCGCTGCTGTGCTCAGCTCTTGACCAAAAAGTAAAAACATACTCATAACTGGCTGGCCTGCCCACTTTCTCAACAGCTTCCAACCACCTGGAACCACTTTCGCACTTACATACCCCCTCCCTCTTCACAATATCGTCGTAGCTCTCTTATTCCCTCTCTGAATCACTTCTACATCTTTCCCAGCAGTAAGAGTACACACATAGCCCACCATGTCAAGTGTCCAAGTCCAGACCTCCGTCCTCCACGGCGCGAGGGACCTCAAGATCGTAAGTCCAACACTGTTCCTTAGGAAGCTCCGAGAATCCCAGACGGACGCACCGTCAAAAGCAAGATCTAACCAATAGCTCCAGGAACAAAGACAGCTCCCCGCCCTCGCGCCGGGCGAAGTCCAAGTTGCCGTAAAGGCCACCGGCCTCTGCGGCTCCGACCTGCACTACTACAACCACTTCCGCAACGGCGACATCCTCGTGCGGGAACCCTTAACCCTCGGCCACGAGTCCAGCGGCGTCGTCACCGCCGTCGCCTCGGATGTCTCCAACCTCGCCGTCGGCGACCACGTCGCCCTCGAGGTCGGCCAGCCCTGCGAGGCCTGCGAGCTCTGCGCCGCCGGCCGCTACAACATCTGCAAGGGCATGAAGTTCCGCAGCTCCGCAAAGGCGTTCCCGCATGCCCAGGGCACCCTCCAGGAGCTGGTAAACCACCCGGCAAAGTGGTGTCACAGGTAAGACTCTTCGGCGCAAAATCTAGGTCTATGTACACGATGCGCAAGGCAACTGACCTCAGAAAACACACAGGCTCCCCTCAGAAGTCTCTCTCGAATTCGGCGCCCTCGCCGAGCCCCTCTCCGTCGCAATGCACGCCCGCGACCGCGGCAACCTCCCCAGCAACTCGACCGTCCTCGTCTTTGGCGCCGGCGCCGTGGGCCTGCTCTGCGCCGCCGTCAGCAAGGCCGACCAGCAGCGCGTCGTTATCGCCGACATCCAGGCGGACCGCGTGCAGTTCGCGCTCGACAACGGCTTCGCCGACGCCGGCGTCGTCGTCCCCGCCCAGCGCCCGCAGACCATCGAGGATAAGCTCGCGTACGCGCAGAGCGTAGCGGAGCTGGTCAAGAAGGCTGAGATTGGCGGTCAGGCGGTGGGCGAGGTGAATGCGACGTATGAGTGTACCGGCGTCGAGACGTGCATGCAGACTGCAATCTTTGTGAGTCCTTCTCATTCGCGAGTTACCACTCTCGAAGGACAAGGTATACTGACGAGTGACGTCTTCTTAGTCCACACGCCCAGGCGGCAAGATCCTCATTATCGGCATGGGCACCCCGATCCAGACGCTGCCCATCTCGGCGGCGGCGCTGCGCGAGGTCGACTTCGTCGGCGTGTTCCGGTACGCCAACACGTATCCCAAGGCCATTGACCTCATCGCCACGAAACCAAAGGGCCTGCCCGCGCTCGAGAAGCTGTTTACGCACCGGTACAAGGGGCTGAGCACCATCAAGGACGCGTTCGACATGGCGGCCAAGGTCAAAGACGAGAGTGGAAATCTAGTGCTCAAGGTTTTGGTGGATACGTCGAATTAAAGAGCATTAGCGAATGTAAATAATTAGAAAAAAAGTAATGATTTTGAGTTACATGAATTTGGGAGAGTCGTGTTTGAGTGATTGATGATGTGCAATGTGAGCTCTTATGTTATTTCACCGAGGCAGTTGGGACATGGAGAATACCTTACCCGGTGTAAATGACAAGACTACCCAACTACGAATACACCCAACGCAAACAGGTGCCTCACATAACACACATCATTCGGACAAGCTCCTTCACCACGATCATTGGCACATTTTCCGTAAACACGAGTACGCTATAAATCATTTCTATTGCTTCGCTCTATTCCCACGGCAAAAAGGACAATGGTCTACGACTTATCCGGGAATCCAAAGTCAATGCCAAAGGGCGGGTACACATAGCGCTTCAGCTCTTTCTTGGCCGTCAAATCGTCAGAGTACGCCCGCAGCTCCTTCAGATCCTCGTCGTCGAGCTTGACAATCTCCAAGTTGGACTTGATCCGGCTCTCCGTCACTGACTTGGCAATCACGGTGCTGCTGCGCGCGACGTGGTAGCTCAGCAATACCGTACCCGCGCTGACGCCGCGCTTCTCGGCAATCTTGACGACGGGCGCCGCGGTCAGCAGCGGACCGCCCGTGGAGCCGAGAGGGCTGTAGGCCATGATGTGGATGCCCTTCTCCTTGCAGTAGTCGACGATCTCCTGCTGGGGCAGGCTCGGGTGGTTCTCGATCTGGTTGACGGCGGGGACGACCTTGGCCTGCGGGAGGAGCTCGTCGAGGTATTTGACGCTGTAGTTGCAGACGCCGATGGAGCGGACCTTGCCCGTGTCGAGGAGCTTCTCGACCGACTTCCAGGTGTCGACGTGGGAGTGGCTGTGGATGATGTCACGGGAGCCGTCGGGCTTGGTGGGGAACCTATCGTGGTTGCCGTTGGGGTTCATTGCGACGGGCCAGTGCTGTCTAGTGTTAGTCACTTATCTCTTTCTGATGTTTACCTAGTCAGGGTTGAGTGAGAAACATACGACGAGGAAGAGGTCGACGTAGTCGAGACCCAGGCTCTTCAAGCTCTTCTCCAGGCCCTCCTTGACCTTGTCGTCGCCAATGGTGTAGGTGGCCCACAGCTTGGTGACAACAAAGATGTCCTCGCGCTTGACGCCGTTGGCGAAAGCCTCCTTGAGGCCGGCGCCGACCTCATCTTCGTTGGCGTAGCAGTAGGCGCCGTCAATGGCCTTGTAGCCGACGGAGAGGGAGTAGGAGACGGCCTTTGTAACCTCGCCGGGGGCGGATTGCCAGGTGCCTTTTTTGTTGAACGATGACGTTAGTTGAAGGTTCTCATTGTGTTTCTGTCGAGAAGAATGGGGTTTGAATGAAGAAGT